GCGCAAACTTGTCTGTCCTTTATTTACTTGAGATTCGCGCTCTTCATTAACTTGATCGGCCAGAGTCGAGGCCAGTTACTTTCTCACTACCAGCGTTAAATTGATGCCCCTGTGGTTAATACAATCCGTTCGGCTGTTTTCTTTGTATATTGCCACAGCTGTCCATCTACTTCAATTGATTGGGATGGTCATTTCATTCTGTTTGTGTTCCAACAGATGGGTCGATGACCGGAGGATCTCGCCTCCCTTAAGTGGTGCAGACCTGAGATGATCCGAGCAAGCGATTGAGGACTGTGCTTGCGTCTCGAATTTCGAACGTATCCTCTGAACCAACTATATATTACCCGACATTTTGAACTTACCGGAAGCAACATGCCCCAAGAACCGGGCGGATTGCTTATGTAAGTTAGTGTGCCGCTGCTCCCCTTGACTGTCTCGCTGACTCAATGGTTCCCAGTACCATGGTGTTGACTGGCTTGAAAAGTGCGGTATTTATCCATCGCTCTTAGCTCTTTTAGGAGCCCTTTGGGTCCATCAGGTTCTTTTATTATCACGCAGCCTGTCTTACTCCGTACTTATTTGTCCGTCTGCTCACAAAGTGTTCTGTGCCGGCAGCACAATGTGCATTCTCTTCTGATTTCCATGAGGTTCATCATACTTTCAGATATCCAGTGACTAGTGCGCTGATGACCGAAAGTGCCATAAGCGGAAGCTCTCGCCTCTTGTATGGCGGTTTAGGTGCTGTTCCACCGAAGCCCGATGTCTTCAGATTAACTGCAAGAGGGTGTAAATACGTACCTCAATTGTCTACATTTCCAGATCGAAAATTCAAGGTTAGAAACCGGCCATTTAGAGATATACAACGCAATCGTTTCTCAGGTTAATAAAATCTTTGGATGCAAGCTTTATCACTTGCTCCGAGAATTTTTTCTCAACTGAAACAATCGATTCTCTACTTCACTTGTAACCATGGCAGCAATTGACCTGTGTGAAGCCATTAAGCACTGGACGATCGACATACTAGAAACCACACGTATTCCCTTGTCGATGAAGAAATGTGGAATACCAAATTCACCATCTCATTCCTTGATTTAGCTTACGGACTATACTGGACTGGATTTGTGCCTCCGTGTAAGGCCTACTTAGAACCAGTCAGTGGGGTCAGTATCAGTGATGGGTCCTCCTTTGGATGGACGAAGGACAGGAGACATTTTCGATCCTAATGCAGCGGTTAATTTTTGTAGGACTACACTACAACCGGCTCTAACCTTTTACGACTGACATCTAGAACATCGTGGGCCCCGTAGTGGCCGTCATCTTAACTAATCCCTTCGCTGGCGCATACAAAATCACACACACAGTGCTAACCTTGATTCGTTTTTATTGCAAAACCTGACACCAAGTGCGTGTGGCTGGCACCTCAGGACATTTGTTACCTGAATAATTGTCATTTACCATGACCAATATTGGACTTGGGTATTAGTTTTCACCGGTTACCAAATCGCTCACTCGCCCACCATTTTTGCCGGAAATTATCTATACTGTAGCTGTTAGGTAAAGTGCTAATTCACTCCAGTGCCACTGGTGGGCAACTCACCACTAATTCGTTCTTAATCCACGTTCATTGCACCCTTTTCGCTCCCTAACTGGCCGGTGGCCGAATGCACCCGTGGGATTGAAGATGATGTTACGAACCGTATAGCAAAAGCTCGAGGTGCTTTTGCCAATCTCCGCCACCTGTGGCGCAGACGCGACATTACTCTCGCCCTCAAGGGCAGAGTTTACAACGCAGCCGTCCGTTCAACTCTCCTATATGGTTGTGAAACCTGGCCCATCAGGTCGACAGACATGAAGAGACTCGTCACGTTCGATCATCGCTGCCTTCGCAGCTTAGCTCATGTCTGGTGGGAACACCGCGTGAGCAATGAGCGTGTTCGACGTCGCGTATTTGGTGCAGGAAGAGCGAGTGAACCGCTCAGCACGATTATATCACGCACCAGGCTCCGATGGCTGGGCCACGTCTTGCGCATGCCAGCACACCGACTCCCACGACGTGCATTGTTTGCGCGTTGTGGGTGCGGTTGGAAGAGGAGGAGGGGAGGCCAAGTGATGACTTGGTCGCGAGAAATGAAAACCCTCACTTCGAAGTTGGCGTCGGTTGGTGCATCCCGACTGCCTGGCTGGGGTCCTAAGGACGGTGAACACGTTTGGCTGCACACACTTGCTGATATGGCTAGGAGCCGGCCCCAATGGCGTTTGTGTTGTGAGTTCCTTTGTCCATCCCCCTCCTGTTTAGCATCCCCCTCCAATCACGATCTCAATCGTTAGGCATAATATGACTTTCTTTTACGGCAGCCAGCTGTTAGCTCTCCGGAACGATGTCCATCCGTTACTGGGGACTCAGCGGGCGTGCCAATGTTTGTTTGTTTGTTTGTTTTTTCTTTTCTTGCCTTTTGTATTGCGGCACAATAGCTGAGGTGTTTTCCACCTCCAGCTAACGTGTAATGATGATGATGATGATGGTGGCCGAATGGGTGAGGCATCTACCTTGCAACCCGAAGATGACTGGTTTTTGTCTGCGTTGGTATTAGCGACTTCTCAGTATTCCCAACCCGCGCACAACTGGTGGTTGTCGCGTGCAGCAAAGCGTCGGTGCGGTGAACGCTAGTTGCTATCTCTGCCACGGCCACTTGGGAAGTATGAACAGTTACGTTGTCATACAGAAGAACTCCTGCTGCGAGCTTCCCTCCCCGTTTTTTCTCTAATTGCTTGTTTCAGTTGGTGTAATTCTGAAGCGTGCTACTATCCTGTGGTGGTCTGACCCCTCAGCAGGAAATCTATCATGATTACACCTTCATTATCTCAGAAGACAGGCCATCGGCTTTTCCGCGGACGCCACCTTACGACACCCGTTTTAGGGGGGGAACTACTATCTTTCCATCATTTACTTTGAACCTTTGACTCTGGTTCAAGGTGATGAACCAAAGTTTCACGCCGGGCAATAATTATTTTACAGAAACGGATCAGAAGTCGCCTCGAATTTTCCAGCTTATTTTAATTTCTGTTCAGATTTCAACATTTTGGCACCCTTCTTGCAGTCGGATTTCTCATCCCCAAGATGTTCGTAAAACAGCATGAGCTCAGCCATAACTTATGCCCATGGTCATAGCTATATTAGTAATAGATAACCTATCACTTGGCGAATCGCTTCCACTTGATCATTTGACGTCGAAGGTTTTGGGCGGCCACATCATGGATCATCTTCAGTGCTCTCCCAACCCATCTTTTGTATTCGCAGCCCACTTCTTAACAGTGGAATATGAAATGGAGTCCCCACCAAATGTCTCAACCATGTCAGAATGGATTTCCTTTAGCGTCATACCCTTTTTCTGCAGGTACTTGATCACAGTTCGGCTTTCAAATTTTTCCTTTTTTAATCTGAGCAACCAAGGTCACTTCGATGAACATGCAAACAAATAACGATAGAAGCTTGAGCCTTGACACTGATACTTCCAGAATATGATAGTTTTATAGAGTGTCTTTAATTTTCACTCGGTGCATTTACTTCCTTGTCTGTTCGAGAGCGTTTTGATCCACCCTTGTATCAGCATACTGCTGTTTCCTTGCACTTGTCAGCTCAACGTGCAAGTTCTTCAGTGAATTTATCAGTCGATTTAACGTATCAGTACTACGCCAGTACTTCATACTGCTGCTCCATCACAATTTAACTGCCAGTGGTTGTATATGGGTTAAGTGACTACCACAGTGCTCTCACACGTATATAGGATCGGGGACTCAAAACTGAGGCGTCTGTTTCACTACGTCACTCATCGGTCTATAGGTCGCGAATAGTCTCCGTGTGAGCATCACTGGACTACCAGTAGGAGGTAAGCATGCATCCTGAACGCAGCTAGAATTTTGATACAGCGTTTAGCGCAATTGGGAAAGCAGACAGTTATTGGAGTCATATGGATTACCGGTTGGTGCATTGCCTTCCTACCCTCTGTTTAACTTGCCCACAATACTCACGCTGCCCCGTCTATCTTCTACTTCGATTGCGGGCTGTGAGTCTGTGTCGTGAAACGGGCGTGCAGTGCAAAACGGCAGTAACCTGACGTAATATCCAACCCACCCGATTATGGCTCTTGCTACTTTGAACCAATCTTCGGTGCATCTAAGTATCTGAATGAATGAGTTCGTAGCATAAAGGATCACAAGCCTGCCTTGTTATCCAAGGGCGCGCGTTCCAGCCTGCGTATTGACCTCGCAGTATCCTTAACCCTCGTGCAACTGGTGGTGTTTGTTCGACAGCGAAGCGTCGGTACGCAGTACTGACGTACTGCTGAATCTTTTTTCTTCTTTTTCTTCTTCAGACAGTTGCTCATTACATGACGAGCTGCCTCAATGCCACCAGTTAGAGGTTGACATGCCAGTCATGGACTTCGTAATGCAGGAAGGAAAGTGCTGCTTTTATGTTTAGTTCCATGCTTTTTGCTTTGTCTTTTCTGTTTTTCAACATGTCGCTGTTTCCCGTTGACTGTATACAAGTGACTTGGAGTCAGGACTTCGTTTGATAATTTGTCGTCACATGAAACGACGTACTTGATGTTGGCTATTTTCCCCATTGCGATCTAGTAAAGGCACTTCCAGAAGAGTTGTGTAGCGTATGTTTTTCTCCACTGCACGCCGTTGTTCAGCCACCCAGGGCACCCCAAGTGCGCTTTTTGGGAGTTTACTCCTCCATCTCCCAAATTTACCTCAGCTTCCTACAACAATTCGAATATCTATCTCCGCAGCCCTCGGGAGAGTAGTCGATGTGCCCGAAACGGTGTAGACTGCTTACATGCCTGTCCGTAGATTGGTAGGAGTCCTGAACGCGATTCCCCTGATTCACCAAATGATCAGTTCGCTTTTCAGGCAAGCTCATGTTCGTTGATTCTTTAAGAACATTTTGCCCCTTGCGTAGCTTTCTGTGAATCAGACTGCTTACCTCTTTTTTAGCTCTAATTCTTCACGGAACTTCGATGGTCTTAATCGAACAATAAAAGCTTACCAACTTTAATCATTTGTCCCTATGTATGGGTTCAATCGTCATCCATATGCTGGAATACCCAGTTGACCCATTACTGCCGCTTTTCTCAGCAAACACATAGAACTGCTCCGCGCTACATCAGTTCTTATCTCGTGAAAAAAACTGCAGCGAGAACTTTGGTACTTCAACAAGTTATACTACCTCTGAAAATCTCTTTTACTTTTCTTTCTTGCCGACCTTTTTTACATGGGTTTGAAAGGATTTTTTAAAACAATCATACCGAATAGGACGCGTGCCTGGTGCCTTCGAGAATATGCATCATTCCTGTTATCTGCAATATTAGACCTGATGAAACTGTCAGCACTGAACGAGAAGGCAGCATTGAAGGGAACTTCTACAAATTGTTTCACGTTTGACTTCACTCCGCATGTCCCCCATGTCGTCGAACGACTAAATCTATCTTGATCATCTGTTTTTGACACCGAGCCTATCCTGTTTAATTCTTTTTAACCATATCTGTACGGCCGTTAGCTTTTTCCGATATGCACTTACACGTGCCTCACTCTCTCTTCGTTCGTCTGCTGCACTTACCATTGGATGCACTCTCTCTCCTTTTCAGTTCACTTAGGTTACTACACTACCCATTCAAATCGGTGTGCATTAAAAGATGAGGGGGAATAGGGTTTGTCTTCACTTCTCTTTGTCACTATTATGCAGAACTTGCAGTCGAAATCATCTTTCTCGAAATCGTATAACACCTTCCTGAAGGCTTTCAAATCGGCTTCCGTCTTCGAAGACAAGAATGAATTTCTTGATATAATTTATTGGTTCCGTCAAGGCTTTGCTGTCATTATTGGCATCATATGGGGCCTAATACCTATGAAAGGAATGGTGGCCATTATGCTTTTTTTCCTGTTAAATATCGGCGCAGTTTATCTGTACGCGACATTGTTCCAGAAGGTTGATGAGGACGAGTACGGTGGATTTGGAGATATTATCAAAGAAGGCATTATGACCGCATTTTCCTGTTTCATGGTGTCTTGGATCGTGGTTTATGATTACGCCCACGGATTTTCGTTTCCAACTTGATTTTTTTTCTGTTCAGATGTATATCACCGCTGTACTTTCATTTTGCTTTATGCACCATTTTTTAAGTACATATATTATGCTAACTTTGCCTTTTGCCCAATGATTTTCAACATCAAAGGTACATATATATATATATCTCATTTTCAGGTGCCTCAATCTTCTTTCTCGGGCTCCTTTATAGTAACTTCGGTCGATCGTTTGACTTCAGAATGTTCTGGTGTTTCCAAGGCTGTTGACGGTTCCCGGTGTATTTTCACGGTAGACTGCTTGGAATCGAGCATCCCCCTTAGGGTGGAAAAATGCCCTGTATGTAGTATTTCCGGACTTCCTTCACATGAACCAATCGTTCTGAACAAAGGAGCTCGATTAAAGTTATGCTTAGGGCAACAACCAGATTTGTGCGAACAAGAAAACTGCTCAGGTTTTCGGAAGATCCTGGAAGTCGTTTTGAAAGGCTGTAGACCAAAAGAAACCATTACTGTGTGTTTTGACTTTTTGCCATGCGCTGGCGGCGACTCAGATAAAGAAGAGAAATCGGTAAGAAATTCCATCGTAAACTCTTCCTTTCTGCACCTAGTTTTTCCACATACATTGCGACTTACCTTTTATTAGGATGCTGCCATTATATTTAATTCCACGGATTCGCTGTGAGACATCGACACTGGATATTCTCCTTTTGTACTAATGCTTCACAACCATTCGGCCAACTTTCCCGAGGGATAATTATTCAGTTAGTATAGAATGCACAACTGCAGTGAATAGAGCGTAATTGGGGTTGCGCAAACATTTAGAGTTAATTTACGTCTGTCTTGAATGCTCCGTGCGACTTTGTATACTTGCTTGTCATGTGAAAATGAAGCGGCTTCGACGAAGCAATTTCTTTATTTCCGGATGGTTAAACAATGGACGGCCTATCAGTCAGGACATCGCATAAGCGCTTATTAGTTCGTGACGACACTGGACCTTAACGTAATGCGATTGTTTGTATAGTTCTGAGCACATTCAAAGCCGCTCATATCAGACAGGTCAGTGATTATGGATTACACAAACCCACTATGAGCATTCTCTCACGTCTACATCCATTCGACTAAAAGGATAGTGTCTTGTGTTAAACCTACCCATGTTGACTTCCTAGTCACAGTCGTTCTGAGCTTAAACTGAAACGCGAAGAAAACGCTTTTCGTTTGGCTGCTTCACGTTTACTTTTATGAAAAGTCATTCTAGCAGAGCATACTGTGTACGCTTGCTGTTCAAAACATCTATATAATCAACGTTGCAAACCGTTGACTCAGCATGGTCAGTGAAGCGGATTTTCTCATTTGTGTCCGTGGAATTTCAGTATGCTAATCTAACACAGCATAGTGCTATTGCCTTAAATCTCCATTTCAGACAACAACAGCTCCGAGAGTATGCTAGTAGGGGATCTAATTTACTGGATTGTCTAATATGGTGACTCGGTTTCCTCATTAATGGGGCTGGCAAAGTCAGTTGTTGATCTCTTGCCGGCTAATCTGACAATTGGGGAATCGGAACAGATTGATACAACCGAAGAGCGAAGAACATGATCGGCGTTTTCTTCCAACCAATAAATGTTCACCCGCTCTCCACTTCGTCCTCGAGCTTGATCAAATATACTCCGTCTAACCAGTGGCTTATATCTTGGTCTATAATGCAGTTGGTTAGATGGAAATTGTTACCGGGGCCGGTCCAAAGCAGCCATCGAAGCTAGCTCTCTTTCTGTGTCTGGAGCAGCTCGGAGAAGATTGGTTGTATGCCGCCTGTAGCCGATTGGCTGGCCAATGAGAGTAAGCCAATGGTATCGTTTTACCTTGAGGTGGACCAATCAGAATGACCTACCTTGAAGCCCTCCAAGAACCACATTACTTGCTCAGGTAACAAGCGAGATTTTGCGCATCTATACCTTTTACGAGTCAATTGAATCCATAACGGAATCAAGCTCCTCCTTAAGAATATTCAACTGAATCCACAATCACATCAAGTTGAATCTAAAGTGGCTCACATGCACAAATGCGTGCCTATCGTCTTGACTAAGTGCTAATCAGTGCACGAGTACTGAGAACATCTGCATCGGTTGGTGCAGCTGTTAGACTTCGCGATCAGCCAACAAACCACGTGATGCACACGCGGACGTGAAAACAACACGTGAGGTCAGTCACTGTAGGATGCAGTGCGGACCAGCAAGCGGCATCTATGGATGGTTGAGGAAGTACTGTAACTCCCACCCACTCACTTGTGCGGCATCAACACAGAACTGGGGGGCCGGAGGTATTCCATCCGCTTTCACGGTGCTCACTGTTGTGCGCAGACGACCAGACGTGAAATGTGCTCCACAATGAGACAGTATCGATTGCATTCACTGAAGGTAGCTGCGTGCAAGCTAGCAGATAGGTCCGTCAACCTCATCTGGTTTAACCTATGCTTAGCGGTGTCTACGTGTGATCGATTGTGGATAATATTGCCTAGGTGAACCAATGCGTGCGGTGCTTCATTACGCGCTACCATGGAACAATGCGTTAGTAATCGATGGGTGTGGCCGAATTACCTCTTAACGGCAGTTGATCGGCCTTAATGATGAGGTTAGCATCAGCATCTGCACAGCAATGCATGATGTACTGCAGTAGTAGTTGCTATAGTCAGGAACTTAAAATTAGGTCTTTTCTCTCATGAACTATTTATTTTGACCCCATATTATGCTTGTACACTCTGTCTTCCGAGTGTTCCATACAAGTTCCGCCAGAGGCCTTTGTCTTCTGATTTGGAAAGTGGATGTATCGTGACCAGAGTGGCAGTATCGGTGATCTGTACTATCAGCGGAAACACAACAGAAATCGGATTCATTAACCATATCCAAAGCTTTTATCCAAGGTTACATTGGGATTTAAGCTCAACCGTGAGGGGTATCTAAAAAGTTGCGTGTAAATCCATCGGAGGCTAGTCGCATACAATGGGTTTTTTCAATCTTCTCCTACAGTGTGGTTAGCCTAATGCATGCTCTGATAAAATCGCGCACACCTAGAGATAGAGGTGAACTATCTATCTCACCAAACCCTCCGTACCCTTCGTCATTCCAGCTGAATTTGTTAATCGTATTTGTTTGCATTCATGAAGTCAGAGCATCAGCAGTGGACCGGAACTTCGTACTGATACTCTTCTGACCCGCAAGCACTAGCGGTTGCATACAGAGTGGGGTACCACAATATCTGTCGCACACACAGTTTCGAACTGGTGACATGTGAATTCCGAATCAAACGCCCAAACCACCGTCTTCAGCCGACCGAGTTTTAAAGACACATAGCTCTCAAACTATTCGCAATATACAAAACTAATATTGGCCCTGACTTTCTTCGAACTCGAAATTTGGCTTCTTAGTAATATATATATATATATATATATATATATATATATATATATATATATATGCATGCGGCACTTGTCTCACCACCGCCACATATATTGACTGCCCATCGTTGTCGTCTTCCTCGACATCAAAAGTGCTTTAGATTCGGTTGATGGATGTGTTTTTGGGACTATCTGCTTCAGAAGGGTGTGCTTGAAAAAGATCTGAATATTATCCGAGCGCTTTACGCGCGCAGCTCGGGCAAAGTAAGGGCGTACGGCAGGCTATCGCCGCCGTTAAGTATATCCAATGGTGTAAAGCACCGATGCTCCCTATCACCTTACTTCTTCAGCTTCGCTATTGACGAAGTCATGGAGATCGCGTTCACTGGACACGACTTAGAAGGTGTGGAGTTTCTCCTAGCTGAAAGATATATTGTCTTATAATATGCTGTCGACATTGCCCTCATCTTTGACAGCTCACAAACATGCGAAGCATCACTGGCTATCAATCGTTTTGGGCCGTCTTTTGCGCTGAAGTTTGGGGGGGGATCAGCTAGAAGTCGTTCAAAAATTTAACTACCTGGGTTGTTGTATCTTTGCCTTTGGAATTGAAGACGAGCTCACGGACCGTGTAGCAGATCTAATAGTGTGTGTTATCTACCGTAGCTCTTTAACCTGTTGTTGCGATTGGCTACCGCATATACAGAAGCACATGAGCCGGCCTGGTTTCACACTGATGGAGGATCTAAATTTACCTAAGATATTCTGGCCAAACATTCGGCTTCCTCCCGGTCATGGCGACGTTGAGGCTCAATTCGCTAAAGTGATTATTGAAATAGGGCAGTGCAATATGTCATCCAACCGGCGCGCGTAACTCCCCACTCGGCATCTTGTTTGGACCTAATGTTTACGACCTGCGAACAGAATCTGAAGGAGATCAGAGTCCTCGAACCTCTGACGAACAGTGACCACGGCTCTATTTTGTCAAGCATAGAACTGCCGTTACCGTATTACAACAAACGGAAGCCGACCTTCAACGATTGGAAGATGGACTTCAGCAGGCTCGTTCAAACTGCAACTCAGACTGATTGAACACAACAACATGATGAGTCACTTGAAGCCTGCAGGTCATTAATGAAGGGGAAGCTTAAGTCTCCGTGTGCTCGGTTCGTTCCCATGAAGTATTCAACATTCGGACCTGTCAAACCGCGTTGCTTTGAGAAGGAATATAAACAGTTAGCGTGGCGGCGTCGCAAACTTTGGGATAGGTACATCAGCTCGGGTTGTGATTGAGATTACACGGTGTACAAGTAACAGCGTAACTTACGTAACGCCGCAGAGATCAAGAAACCCTAGCAGTTCGAAGGGGAGCTAGCATCTTCGACCACAACTGCACCCAACAGAATATTTGCTTACTTGAAACGTCAACTGCAACCTGGGGCGACCTACCGGTCTTAGAGAGCTTGGACGGAGCGCGGACGCCTTGGCTACGCACTTCCTCACCGTATCTTCGAGTACACCGGCGGCTGTTCCAATGTGTGCACAAGTTGCGCCAGTCTTGCTCGACAGCCTACTATAGCATGCAGTCGAAATGTGTCAGCTATTCATCAATCTCGATGGTGCAAGGCCCCCCCCGGACCAGACGGACTTCACCCACTAATACTCAAGTCCCTATCGATTATCATCTCATTAGCCGTGACAAACCCATTCAATAAATCACTCTGAAGGATCTGTTCCCAACGACTGGAAATGATCGATAGTAAGACCGCTTCCCAAGGGTGGTGATACGAGTAAATTAGAGAACTATAGACCGATCTGTTTGACTTCGATGTTATCAAAAGTTCACGAGAAGGTTGTGAAAAAGTGTCTGCTGTCATTCTACGAATCAATGGACGTATTGACACCAGCAAAACACGGCTTTACGTAAGGGCGATCCTTCATCACCAACTTGATGTGCGCAAACCATCAGTGGATAAGAGCTCTCAACGACCGGAAAGATGTTGACGTGGTGCACATCGACTTTAGTAAGGCGTTTGACAGAGTGAACCACGAGGTACTTCGTAAACTGAGGACCTACGGAATCGGTGGCACGCTACTTCAATGGTTACATGAGTTTATTATAATGGACGAAAATTTCGAGTGCAGGTCAATGCCTATCTGACTGACTGGTTCCCATT